CATGTTATTGGTCTTCCATCATCCTAAATCACAAATTATGTGATGCCTTCATACTTAAGGTTCATAGAACTTTGGGGGGTTTTAGGATATCTTTGAAATTCGTAGTGGAAACCCAAAGTAATGACTTATATCATGTGAGTCTTATCTAGAACTCCCTACATTGTCATGTAATTGGATTGCCTTGGTTAAAAATAGTGACTTGCATCAACGAATGAACCCTAATTTTTCTTATTTCTATATATTGAGATTTTCGATTTAATAAATGAACCTTCACGCGTTAAACCCCTGATTATTGTTGTTCATTATGAGTTTTTGGTGATGGATCCCATTTTGTGCATGAGAGTGAAATGGCCTCAAGAACAGCTCAGCCTATTCCGGAATATTGTCCTAATTCTCCTGTCTGAATCTTGCTAAAGCGATGTAATACCCACAATCACTATTTGGCCGAGGCATGTTTATTTGAAGCCCTCAATTAATACTTTCTGGATTGTAAGCTACTTCCTTCGCTCTAATATAGCTCATGCGCTTGTCTTGGTCATTTATAGGGGTGAGGAATGCATTGGCATAAAAATCCTTGCACACCTCAATGGAACTTGGGAAAGGTGTTTAGCAGAGTTGTTGCCACCCTCTACGCTCTATGACTGCATGAATCTCCGAAATTTTATTTGCTTCTACTTTCAATTGTCTCTCTCCAACAATTTTGTCTTTGGAAGCCTTCACAATCTTCCTGTAACGATTAAGATGTATCAGGTATTTTCATAGGTGGGTATTGTATGTGAACTCTTTAACGGATTTTCTAACTCGTGTCTGCTTGCTAGTAGCCATACCTGAAACTCAGAAAAATATCAACCAACAACAGATGTGTAAGTGGCAAGCAATAAAAATCTGATGCAAGTAACATTAGAATTAAACCTGAATATGTATACATAGTGTAAGCATGAAAGTCCCAAATTCATTCCCACAATAACATCTCAACAATTTAATTTCATGTAATTAAAAGAGAAAACAAACCAATATCTTAACAAAAAAGAATTCAAAAAGGGATGGAAATGTAGGCTATGTATTGATATTATACTATTTGTAAGGGTATGTTTTTATAGATACCATTTCTTTAGGAATTTAATGTTTCTCCAACAATAATAGCTCAACAATTTAAAGGTTATGGATTATGCAATTTGAAAAACGTGTTTACTTTGGAAAAAAAATTTGAGCTCGTGCAATGCAATTCAACATATACCCTTACATATAAGTCTAAGTCCTAGAAATATAATTCTAAATAAAATTTTGGACTTAACTTCTTATCTTAGTGCTTAGACCTTGCTGCTTATCTTGACTTTTGCATTTGACTTGTTAGATTGGAAATACTTGGTCCTTTGTTGGTTTTGATCATTTTTTACAATGGTTGTGATATTGAGCTTCTTTAGATGTTGTCCATAGTTTGTTGCCTTTGATCTTCAATGCTTATCTTTGTTCTTGCCATTTTGATGACTCATCATTCTTCTTGTATGACTTTATCATATATCTTTAATCTTCACATAGTCATGATACTTTTTGCTCTTGATTAAGGTTGTTTTCTTTTTGTTATTGTCACTTTGTTATCATTAAAATATACCTTGTATCTACAACACACGTAGCCAAATTAAACATAATTTATCTCTTTTTACAATGCATGTCAATTTCCTACACGATCTAGTTAGCAATACCAATTCCTAACCCAACTCTAGATTTTTTTATCATAGAAAACAATATGCAAGTCACATAACATTTGCATTTCTAATATTTCAGCAAGAATTACCTTGGTCCAATTCGTTTTATATTGCTTCCTTTACCTCGATTCTCACTTTAATTTGGTGTAGAAACGGTTCACCAATCGATTCTACATAAAAAAACTGAGAATTTAAGAAAACCCTAGAAAGTTAGGGAAATGATTTTCTTAATCATTAACTTTTTTCCCGTCACAATCATCATTGGGTAACTTGTTAATTTTGTAGAAAGTCATTTTCCAAAATTAGGACCAGAAAATCAGAAAAGAAAATTGTGACAAAATTAACCCTAGGTAGACAACGCTACTTTCTAAAAGACAACAAACAAGAAAGACAACTTTGCTTCCTCCTCTCCCTACACCCACTGAGGAACAAGTTTTTCACCAAAACCCATTCTCACATACCAATTACTGTTCCGGCTCCCACATAGATCAACCATCCTTTCATCTATTTTCCTTTTTTCCAGGTTCCTATAAACCCTCTTTAACACCATCTAGTTCCCTTCATCTCCTCTGAAACAACCCACCATAAACCAACCATCTTTGCACTCCCATCATCAGCAAGGATGCTCTTCTTCGTCAAATACTCTCTGTCAAGATTGTTCCTAGTCAGCCCCATAAAAACCCCTTTCCCACAGCCTCCAACATTCCCTTTGGTCTATGATCGAAGGGCAAGAAGAATAAAAAGAAGAAGAAATGCACCGTGAAACACCACCTTTTTAGAAAGAAAACAAAGACGCAATGCTGTTTTTTTTTTTTTCATCATGTTTGAAAAGTCACATATGGTGAGGGTAGTTTCGTAAATTCACCGCATATTTTCCATTAAAATTTTACCATCAACCAAACGTAGACTCAGGAAACTTAGTCAATATTTTCAGTAATATTTTTGACCTACCAAACAACTTTTTTTATCACATTCTCGGATATCTCATTTTCCCGGGAATCATGATTCCCGGATAAAAATAATAATTCTCCTCTACCAAATACCTCATAAGAAGAAAATAACGATCAACTTATTTATCCAAATTAAAATTGCTCGGTATATTTGGATACAATGTTATTCCGGCCAGACTCAACCGGTTCAACCAATTTAATCGACAGATAACTATTCGATAGGATCCAATTAATTAATTGACCATGTATAAAAATTATGATAAAATATTCCATCATAATTACACTTGCGTGATTCAAACCTAGCACCTAAAGGAGAGAGAATGAAATGCTAATCACTAAATTATATCACATTGTTATCATATTACTTCTATTTATATATTTATTACATATATTTACATAAATTTAATTTGATTTATTCGATCAATGACTTATCGGTTGAATCAATATTCATACTAATCCGAGTTTAATAATATTGTCTGTATAGACATAAATAAAGCCAAAGATTCTAAGGAAACATTAGCTTAAAAAATTTTCGATCATTAATTAGGTCAACAGAACATGATTACGTTGGCAAAACAGAAAAAAGACCCAACATTTGGAGTATCCAGAAGGGTTTACACTACAGCAAACAACATGCAACCAATCATAAAGAGGAAACGCTACAAAAGGACATCTTGGTTTGGTAGATCAAACCAATAAGATTGACAATAAAACAATACTAACAGGAATATAGAAATTAAATTGATCCTCCTTTTGTTTTCATGCAGAAACTATAGAGTTCTTTAAAATTTGATGTGTTTTATCTTTTGGTGAAACGCGTTGCTTGAAGAATTGTATAAAACACCAAGTGTACTACGGAATTTAGCTTCTTACGTGGCTTGCGTGGGATATGACATTGCCTTGTGGGGACTCCATTGACTTTCTAAAGCATATAGAAAGTACAAATGTATAATTCCAAAGTTCCTAAACTCAAACCAACAAGTTTTAAATAGGGAAATTGAACTGCTCGCTTTCGCATCCTTCATGTTCAGTAAGAAATCAAGCAAAATCCACAACTATTTTTATCTGTTGGTTCACTCAATCACAGTATCATCCTTCTTCTATAATTCGGTATCTTCATGACTATATATATATATATATATATATATATATATATATATATATATATATATTTTTTTTTTTTTTTTTGAGATTTCTCCGCGGATCATCAATTAATCGATTAATCCGATCAAGTTAGGTAAGATAATAAGAGTGCCAAAACTCTCCCAATCAAATTTTTTAACACAATTACCTATTCTAGACTCAAACTCGAAACAAATAATTAAGTTGGAATAACCTTCTATCAGTTGATCCATTGTTTCATAATCATGTCTTTTGCTTTTGGAAAAAATGTGTGTCTTTTTAAATAACACATATTTAGGTTCTTTTAAGAGAGATAAATACAAAGAGATATGAGTTCCACTAAAAAAAGGACAAAAAATATAAAAATATGGGTCTCATATCTTTTTATCTTATCTATCTCTCTATTAAAAGCACTTAAATTTATGGGAAAAAGAACTATCATTTAAAAAGACATATGTTGTGTCCTTTTAGATGATTTACACAAAGTATGACCGGTCATACTTTGTGTAAATCATAAAAGTTGCTTTTTTTTTCTCTCCTCAGTCACATTGCTGACGTGTAAAGTGAAAAAAAGTAACTTTTCAGAATTACACAGAGTATGACCAGTTATACTCTATGTAAGTCACTAAAATGACACTACTTGTATCTTTTTAAATGACACACACTAAACCCTAAATTTATATACATACAAACAAACTTTTGTTTTATTGCGCACTCAAATTACAAACTCTTTATAATCTGTATGATATTTATTGGTTCATTTCCTTTTCTTATATTTCCCATGTCCTTTTCCTAACCCATTTTGACCTTCTCAACGTCCAGCTTATCTCTTCTACATTTAATGACTCCGCTGGAATTATAATGGGTTACTGACACAGTTGCACTCTCATTTATAGTCACTGATATGCTTTGAATAGCAATATCATCTCCTATACACGCCATGCATGATGAACCTATCAATCTGCTTACACATACACACTTCCAAAGAATTACGTGAAAGGATGATTTCCCTATGCAATAATATCCCTCATCACATGACTCCTTTCTCTTCTTCTATAAAACACCACGCCTTCTCACAATCCAAGAACAACCAACACCACCATAATAAATTTGCACTAGTCTTCATTTTTGTCCATATTAAGAGCAACAATTTGCAGTTTTAAAATTCTCACTTTTGTTAAGTTTATTATTATTAGTGTGTTTGAACATTGTAGAAGCAACAATGAGGACTTCAACACTTGCAATTATGCTCCTCTTGTGCTTTTCTTGTGACATACTAGTCTTTTGCCATGGAAGCTTGGACAGTGAGACTGAGAGCACTTTGAGAGTGCTTTTGGAAGTGAAATCATCGTTCTTGGAAGACCCAGAAAATGTTCTGAGTGATTGGTCAGAGAATAACACAGAGTATTGTAGTTGGAGAGGGGTGTCATGTGGGTTGAACGAGTTGAACTCAGAACCTTTGAATGACTCGGGGAAGCGAGTGGTTGGACTCAACCTGTCCGACTCGTCACTCACTGGGTCAGTATCACCTTCACTCGGTCATTTGCAAAACCTAGTCCACCTTGATCTCTCTTCTAACCGCCTCAACGGTATCATTCCAACTACCCTCTCTAACCTCACTTCATTGGAATCTCTGCTTCTCTACGCTAACCAACTCACTGGTCACATACCCACTGAGTTCGGCTCGTTACTGAGTCTCCGAGTTTTGCGAATCGGTGACAATGGACTCACGGGTGTGATTCCCACGTCACTTGGGAATCTGTTTAACCTTGTCTATCTTGGTTTAGCCTCATGCAGGTTCACTGGTCCGATTCCACCCCAACTCGGGAAACTCAGTGAGTTGGAGAATCTGATCCTGCAGGACAATGAGTTGATGGGTCCGATTCCGTCCGAGTTGGGGAACTGCTCAAGCCTTATCGTCTTCACTGCTGCTAACAACAGACTCAATGACTCGATCCCGAGTGAACTGGGTCAACTCAGGAAACTCCAGACTCTCAACCTTGCCAACAACAGCTTAACAGGGCAGATTCCGAGTCAACTCGGTCATATGAATGAGCTTGTTTATCTGAATTTCATGGGGAACAAACTCGAGGGTCATATTCCAACGTCTCTATCTCAACTGGGTAACCTTAAAAATCTCGACTTGTCCATGAACATGCTTAGTGGAGGAATTCCAGAGGTGTTAGGCAACATGGGTCAGTTAAAATACATGGTTCTCTCTGGGAATAAACTCTATGGGACCATTCCAAGAACCATATGTTCCAACGCAACAAGTTTGGAACACTTGATGATATCAGAGAGTGGACTTTATGGTGAGATCCCATCTGAGTTGAGTCAATGTCAATCACTGAAACAACTTGATTTGTCCAACAATTCTCTTAATGGATCAATACCTTTTGAGGTTTATGGGTTGGTGGGGCTAACTGATCTCTTGCTTCACAATAATAACTTGGTTGGTTCAATCTCTCCCTTCATAGGGAACCTCACTAACATGCAAACACTTGCATTGTTTCACAACAATTTGCAGGGTGCTCTGCCTAGAGAGATTGGGATGCTTGGGAAGATGGAAATACTGTATCTTTATGATAATCAGTTATCAGGGAAGATACCTTTGGAGATTGGTAACTGTTCAAGCTTGCAAATGATTGATTTCTTTGGAAACCATTTCAGTGGGGGAATTCCCTTCACTATTGGAAGGCTGAAAGACTTGAGTTTCCTTCACCTTAGGCAGAATGAGCTTGTGGGTGAGATTCCTTCCACCCTTGGAAATTGTCATAAACTGAATGTGCTTGATTTGGCAGATAATCAACTCTCAGGTGGCATTCCTGCAACATTTGGATTTCTCAGAGACTTGAAGCTTCTCATGCTTTACAACAATTCTCTTGTAGGTATTCTCCCTCACCAACTGATAAATGTAGCAAACCTGACTAGAGTTAATCTTTCAAAGAACAAACTGAATGGTAGCATCTCTGCATTGTGTAGCTCTCGGTCGTTTCTTTCTTTTGATGTCACAGATAATGCATTTGACAGTGAAATCCCCTCTCAATTGGGAAATTCACACTCCCTTGAGCGGCTAAGATTAGGTAACAACAAATTTTCTGGTGAAATCCCAAGGACATTGGGGAAAATCATTGAATTGTCATTGTTAGACCTCTCGGGAAATTCACTCAAAGGACCAATACCGGATGAGCTTTCTTTGTGTAATAAACTTGCCTACATTGATTTAAACAATAACCTTTTATCTGGAAGCATACCACAATGGCTTGGAAGTTTGCCTCAGTTGGGAGTGCTTAAGCTCTCCTTCAATCAATTTTATGGGTCTCTTCCACTAAACCTTTTCAAAAGACCCAGGTTGCTAATTCTTTCCCTCAATAGCAATTCTCTTAGTGGAAGTCTCCCAGGTGATATTGTTGATCTTGCATCCCTTAATGTCCTTAGACTTGAACATAATAACTTCTCTGGACCAATTCCTCATGCAATAGGTAAGTTAAGCAATCTTTATGAGCTTCAGCTATCTAGAAATAGCTTTAATGGTGAGATACCAACTGAGATTGGAAATCTCCAAAATCTTCAAAGCATTTTAAACCTCAGTTATAATAATCTCTCTGGTCATATCCCACCTTCTCTTGGTATGCTGTCAAAATTGGAAGCACTTGATCTTTCTCACAATCAACTCACTGGAGAAATCCCTCTACTAGTTGGTGAAATGAGGAGCTTGGAAAAGCTTAACATCTCTTACAATAACTTTCAAGGTGCATTGGATAAGCAATTCTCTCGCTTTCCATATGAGGCATTTGAAGGGAACCTTCATCTTTGTGGAGCCTCTCTTGGGCGTTGCAATCATGTCGATGCTTCCCATAATAAGCTATCAGGTAAGACAGCAGTGGTTATAGTCTCTGCCATTTCAACTTTAGCTGCAATTGCACTACTAGTACTTGCAATGAGCATGTTCTTGAAAAACAAGAAAGAATTTTTCAGGAAAGGCAGTGAAGTGAATTGTCTTTACTCCTCCTCTTCATCACGAGCACAAAAACGACCACTCTTCCCACTAAATGCTGCTGGAAAGCGAGATTTCAGGTTGGAAGATATCATGAATGCTACAAACAATTTAAGTGATGACTTCATAATTGGTTCTGGAGGTTCTGGGACAGTCTACAGAGTTCAATTTCCCACTGGAGAGACTGTGGCTGTCAAGAAGATTTCATGGAAAGATGATTATTTGCTAAACAAAAGCTTTATAAGAGAAGTTAAGACTTTAGGGAGTATTAAGCATAGACATCTGGTGAAACTCATAGGATGTTGTAGCAATAGAAACAAAGGAACAGGTTGGAATCTGTTGATATATGAGTATATGGAGAATGGGAGTGTATGGGATTGGCTACATGGAAACAAAGCAAAGGGTAACCTTGATTGGTATGCAAGGTTCAAAATTGCTGTGGGATTAGCCCAAGGAGTGGAGTACCTCCATCATGACTGTGTACCAAAGATCATTCACAGGGACATCAAATCTAGCAACATATTGTTAGATTCCAAAATGGAGGCACACTTGGGAGATTTTGGACTTGCAAAAACACTCATTGAGAATCATGACTCTATTACTGAGTCCAATTCTTGTTTTGCTGGGTCTTATGGTTACATGGCCCCAGGTAGTGATCATACTATTGATTTGAATTGTTCTTGATCTCAATTTTTTTTGGTCCAACTTTTAACACTTGACAAACTTGATTAACATTTGCTTATTTTCAGAGTATGCATACTCAATGAAGGCAACTGAGAAAAGTGATGTTTATAGCATTGGAATTGTGCTTATGGAACTTGTTAGTGGTAAAATGCCAACAGATGAAGCTTTCAGAGCTGAGATGAACATGGTGAGATGGGTGGAGATGCACATTGACATGCAAGGCACTGCATGTGAGGAATTGATAGATCCTGAGCTGAAACCCCTTTTGCCTGGTGAAGAGTTTGCTGCATTCCAAGTACTTGAGATAGCCATACAGTGTACTAAAAATACACCACAGGAGAGGCCATCATCAAGACAAGTAAGCGATCTTCTTGTGCATGTATTCAACAACAAAAAGGTGGACTTTGAGAAGATGAATTTGGATCATTACAAGTGAATTTATTTCCAACAGATAAGCTTGTTGTTTTTTAATAGTTCTAACAAATAGCCAAAATGGCAGCACATGCCATTTATTTCAATCAAGTATGTTCTAGTTCCAAGATTACTCAAGTAGATTTTAAAATAGAAATGTGATTTGAAATGGCAAACTTTTGATTTTATTATCACCTAATGTTTCATCTTATGCCTCCTTTTCACATTGTTGGATGCTACACACGTTTGGATATCCAATGATAATTACAACATGGTAGCCTAATATTTGTGTCTCGAATTATATTAACTATATAAAATTACCTCTAGTTAATATATAAATTGAAATGTAATTTATTTCATAATTAAATCTTACTCATATCAGTAGAAATGCTACAAATTTAGTCTACTATTTTACAATATGACAACCTAACATTGGCCTCTAATTTATTTCAGAATTAAATTTTAGTCATATCAATCGCAATGCTATAAATTTAGTCTAATACTTTACAACATGACATAACCTAACAATTGCCTCTAATTAATGTATTCAAATTCAAATTATTCCACAAGTTAACGTACACATATCAATGAGAAAGCAACTACAAATTCAAATTCAAAATTATTCCAAAAGTTTTTTTTACCTAAAATTTAAACTAAATGATTCTCTTATAATTAAATTTTATGCATGTTATCGTTTCATAATGTTCGTGACAACAAGTTCTTGCCACATTCACAATTGGATTCTTATATATATATATATATATATATATATATATATTGACAGGTTATTTTTATACCGGTATAAGAATAACAAGTCTTACATCATATCTTAACCGTTAATTTCTGTGCATCCAACGGTAAAGATTTATTGAGTCATATTAATTAATTATTATGACCCAAAAAAAAACTTAACCGTTGGATGCACCAAAATCAACGGTTAAGATGTGGTGTAAGACTTATTATTCATACACTGGTGCAAGAATATATATATATATATATATATATATATATATATATATATAGGGTCAGGATCATTTTACACCAGTGTAAGTTACACTCTCAATCTTGTCCACTGATCTCACTTATATCTAAGGGCTCAAATTTTTTAGTAATGTGAATCATTGGATACAAGTGGATCAATGGTCAAGAATGAGTGTAAGACTTCTAACTCTTACACCGGTGTAAGAATATCCTGCCCCATATATATATATATATATATATATATACAGAAAGAGATAGAGAGAGATAGAGATAGAGATAGAGAGATAGACAGGATCAACTTACACTGGTATAAGAATAATAAATTTTACACTCAATCTCAACCGTTGATTTCTGTCAATCATATATATAACTGTTTAATTGATGAAATTAACGATTAAGATTGAGTATAAGATTTATTATATATGTGTGTGTGAGTGAGAAATTTAGCGGTTCATATATGTTCTGTGACTTAATTTTCCATGATTTCTCTCAAAGGATTACATGTTAATTTTTTTAAAAATTAAATATCTGACATTTTGGCAACTTTTAAGCTTTAAAAGTAGTGGAGTAAATGTTAATTATAATTAACAATCATTTTATAAATCATTATTACAAAAGGATTGAATATGAAGTTTTTTTTTTTTATCTGACAGAGAATATGAGGTTTTTTAAGCAGAAAATGAATATTACATGTATATCACAAATAAGTGGCATTTTTTTATAAGATATTCTACTTACCTTTTTTCATGTCTACTCTATATTTATCTACAACACTGTTAGATCAGAATCTTAACTAACTTTTACTCTTTATCTCTACTCTTGAGATTCTAATCCAATAGTATTGAAGATAAATAGGTAGAGTAGGCAGAAAAAAAAAAAGACATAATATCCCATCCTTTTTTAAAAAGGTTTAATTTTGGGAAGAGGTTATAATTACTACCTTTTTTTCTTACTACTTGTTACTACCAAATCTTAACCGTTGATTTTCGTCAATCTAACGGTTATAATTTATTAGAATTAATAATTAATAAATAAATGTGACCTAATAAATTATAACCGTTAGATTGACGAAAATCAACAGTTAAGATTTGGTAGTAACAAATAATAAGAAAAAAGGTAGTAACTATAACCTTTCCCTTAATTTTGATACACTAAAATTTTATGATATCGTTCAATAATGTAATATTAAATTATTTAGTAAGTATGATAACTCATATGTTATTAAATTCATTAAATGATTGAAATTGCATTATTAAATGATATTATAAAATTCATTTATATGAATAATGTAATACTCTTTTTAAAATATAAAAAAATTATCTTAAGTTCGAATGTTAAAAAGATTTAATAGGAAGATTCACAATCCGGCTCAACTCGAATCAAATCAGTAGTCAAATAATTAATGAATTGATGAAAAAAAAAAACAACGTTGGTTAGGTTTCCAAGGCTTACTGCAACTATTATTAGAGGGTCACGGATATTATTTGGAAGGAAAAGTTTTGTAGAAAAATTGGTAATTATCAATCATGTTTAAGAGGAAAAAAAGTTAAAAAATAAATAGTTGACTAAAAAGGCAACATTTTTATTTTATTTTATCTGTTTATAAGCCATTTTATAAAATAAAAAAAATTATAGAATTTAATATTTTAACTACTGAAGTATTAATTAAGGTGATACTAAACTCAATTAGGGAAAAATTATTAAAACTAAAATTGATAATGAATAATGAATATGTGTGTAGGGCAGGGGTGATAATTTAATACACAACCTGCTAACACGATACAAGATTTTTATCTTCTAGTTGACCCTTATTCACATTCACGTTGTATTTATATTGGCAAAAAAAAAAATGGCATGAAAAATTCATACTATGTTGTGCGTCGACCTACATTTACATCCTCATCGTTTTTGTATTGGCAAAAAATGATATGCAAAAATTTGTGTTGTATTGCATTTCTTAGTATTCATCATTGTACTTTGTAGTCGAGTTTGTATTCTCCTATACAATAAATATTAATTAATCGAAGCTAAATCTTAAGGTATATACATATACTTACCCTAGACCTCATACCATATCTAAATAAGTAAAATTCACTGCATAAAGTTAATAAATTATGCAAAACAATTTAGTATATTGTTGTTGACTCTCTTTATGATGTAACGTCTGCAGTTCCAAGAATTAATGATTATCCCCACATACTAATACGAGACTTTTCAGTATGCTTTTTCCTCACTCGCACACTTCATGGGAAAACTTTTCAGTGTGCTTTTTCCTCACTCGCACACTTCCTGGGAAAACTTCCTAGGAGGTCACCCATTCAAGAATTGCTCCAAGTCAAGCACGCTTAACTATGGAGTTCTTCCGTTCCAGGCTACCGAAAAGTAGATGCATCTTGTTAGTATAGGTAGTACCAATTAATTCTTATAAGCTATCCCAAACTATGCAGTCTCACACTTGCACGGTCTTTGGAATCTCTCTCTTTCGGAAGTCGATTCGATTCATTCATCCATGTAACCCCTGCTGGAAGCCTGTCAGGAGTCGCTCCTTGTCCGTACCTCTTTGCACCGACGATCACTCCCTGCCCTCGTCAGCACTCGGGATGTTACATGCCCACCAGCTTCTGCCTGGTTCGTCCTCGAACCACACCGTACTGGAATAGAGGCCTGCTCTGATACCACTTGTAACGTTCGGCCGCTTCAAGAATCAATGATTATCCCCACATACTAACACGAGACTTTTCAGTGTGCTTTTTCCTCACTCGCACACTTCCTGGGAAAAAAATTTCAGTGTGTTTTTTCCTCACTCGCACACTGCTTGAGAAAACTTCCCAGGAGGTCACCGATCCCAGAATTGCTCCAAGTCAAGCACACTTAACTATGGAGTTCTTCCGTTCCAAGCTACCAAAAAGTAGATGCATCTTGTTAGTATAGGTAGTATCAATTAATTTTTATAAGCTATCCCAAACTGTGCAGTCTCACACCTACACAGTCTTTGAAATCCCTCTCTTTCGGGTGTCGATTTGATTCATTCATGCATGTAACGCCTGTTGGAAGCCTGTCAGGAGCCGCTCCTTGTCCGTGCTTTTTTGCACCGACGATCACTCCCCGCCCTCGTCAGCGCTCGGGATGTTCATAAGACCTTGTCACGCAACCACAAAATTGACCCACGTTTTCTTGTGGTTAATCATATTTTTTACTAGCTGGTTGTACAACTCGTTTTGTGTAATTGTTTGGTTATTATTGTTAATTGATAAAAGCAACATTTAATACATACGTTATTTGTATTGTATCTTGTCAACTCGCACAATAAATGAATCGTATTAATGTAGAAAACATATAGACTTTAGTAAAATGAGCTGATTGTGTTTGTCTTGAAAATTTTGTATTTATGTGTAATGTTTAGGTTAATTGTAATATTCATATCAAAACTCACATCTACACAACTCATTTGCAATAGATTAGATAAAAGGAAAAGTATGTCCTTTTAAGGGACACAGACTTAAATCCTTCTAAGAGATATAGATACAAAAAGATGTGGGTTCCATTGGGAAAAAAGATGTGTGGATCTTACCTCTGTGTGTCTATCTCTTTCTTAAATGACCTAAGTTTGTGTTCACTAAAATGACACACATTTTTTTCTTCGATAAAACATTATATGTATAAAGAATCAATTCAACCCAAAGATTTAAAATACATTAATAATTTTTATATTTTATAATATATTTCTCTAAGACGTCCTACTCACAACTAGGGGTGTTAACGGGTCGAGCCGAGCCGAGCTTTGGTCTTAAAAGGCTAAGTCTGTGTTTAAATGTGTCAGCTTGACCGATCCTATTACCTGTTATAAATATAATTATCGGCTTGTAGCCTGACTTATTTACAAAAAATAAAATCCTGATTTAGCCTGTTAAAAAAAATAAAACAACAAAAATTTATCCAAACAAAATATACAATAAACAACATTATAAATTTAATAAATATTCATAAATTCAATGTATATCCTAACAGTATAATATAGAACAAAATCATTCAAAAAGTCTGTTTAGCCAATAAAATGAGATGAAATGTATTGAGGAGAAAGAACAGGCTATTACAAATAGTATAAAAAATATAAAATATAAATAAAAAATAATATACTAGATCAGCTTGAAAGGCTCTAAGGCCGAGCTTTTGAATTAGAGCCTGAGGCCTTTTTATTAAACGAGCTTTTATACTAGTTCAAGCCTAATGCCAACAACCAATTTTAGACATGTAAGCTCAGGCCTTCACTAGCCGAGTCAAAGGCCCCTGGTTTGTTTAGCACCCCTACACACAACAGTGCATTAAATTTGAATGATGAGAAATTAACAATGTAGAGGCTCACCTAATTAAGTGATTGTACATTAATAGTTTATATATATATATATATACATATATGGATAAATATTTCTACAGCCACTTTAGATAAGGTTATCTACAGCTACCCCAAAAACTACGTCGTTTTGATTAATGAATGGTATTTCTGTAATTTTAGGTGAATTAATAAAGAGTGTTTCCGTAATTTTGTTTATTTTTTTATCATATATATTTTACAGAAACATCCTCCATTAATTCACCTAAAATTACAGAAACACCCTTCATTAATCAAAACGACGTAGTTTTTGGGATAGCTGTAGATAACCTTATCTAAAGTGACGTAGAACTATTTTTTCCTATATATATATATAAGGGGAATGTTATACTTACAACCATATCCTAACCGTTGATTTTCGTCAATCAACGGTTTAGATTTTTGCAAATTAAATTTATTAATTAATTATTAATTCACAATAAATGATAACCGTTGATTGACAGAAATCAACGGTTAAGATATAGTTGTAAGATTTTGTAAACTATTTGGATTATAAATATAACTCCTCCCTATATATATATATATATATATATATATATATATATATATATATATATATATATATATATATATATATATATATAGGGGTAAATATTTCTACAGCCACTTTAGATAAGGTTATCTACAGCTATCCTAAAAACTACTTCGTTTTGATTAATGAAGGGTGTTTCTGAAATTTTAGGTAAATTAATGAAGGGTGTTTCAGTAAAATGCATATGATAAAAAGATAAACAAAATTACGGAAACTGTAACATCCCCGTCTCGAGCCGGTTCAATTAACATACATATGATACAAACAGAAACAACGGAAGACTTAACTTTCGAAAATACAAGCTAACTTTTTTTTCCTTTTTCATTAATTTTAATTCACATGATATCTCACATTGCATACTTCTCCTAATTTAATTCGTATTTGACGAAGACGAAAATCGGGCAGAGTAACCTCTGTAAATTGGACAACTGGGGATTTGTCAATCCCACTCTCAAAGGTTCCTGATAAACAGTTTATACCATATATAATTTCAGAAATACCAGATACCTATAAAGGACTATATACCCATCCATGGGTGCATGTATAACTCGCTCCATGCCACTATGTCTAACAACATACATATTTCAGCACATGCATATATCTGAATACACAAATGTACATGCATCAAATAGGAACACATGTACAAAACATATACGGAGCATATATTGTATAATGGATCAAACATCATGATCTCAAAATGAATAGAACACTATACAACAGTACATATTCTCCAAAAATAACATCTATAATAAATAGTAGCGTCTGGCCACCCAGAACTCTATATCCTCATACTAGTACCTCTAGCCACGGGTAGTGTCCTTGTCCCATGAGGGCTCTTCAATTAACTGTGTTCCTGAAATCATATCCTCAAACGGGGTTAGAGGCGAATCTCTAGTAAGCTCTAGGTTTATGAAAAACTCTCCATACCCTGGGCTCACTTCCTGCATGACAATCATATATATAATATACAAAACATCATATAAGCAAATATCATAGCTGAACAAAGCATATACACATATCTTATCAGAGACGTACGCAGTAATTCCCAAGGGATAACCCCAAACGGAAATCAACGCACGTAACAAATATCATATACAAAATCATCACAATAATCACATCAGAACAAAACATAACTTATCAGAGAAATACGCAGTAATTTCCAAGGGATGACCCCAAGCGGAAATCAACGTACGTGTTCCCAAGGGAGGACCCCAAGCGGAACCAGAACATATCAGAGGTGTACACCATCAGTCCCGAGGGATGACCCCAAGCAGACATCAGTGCACATAGGATCAATGGCCAGAGATCATCACATAACAGAGGTGTACACAGTCAATCCCAAGGGAGGACCCCAAGTGAAAATCAGTGCACATGTTCCCAAGGGAGAACCCCAAGTGAAACTCAACATATAATGGATATATACACAGTCAGTTCCAAGGGAGGACCCCAAGCGGACATCAATGCATATAGAATCAATGGCCAGAGATCATTACAGAAATCACATCAAAACATATCAAAGTAAACACATGAAAACATATCAAAGTAAAGACATCAAAACATATCAAATTAAACATATCACATCACATCATCATATAGTTCTATATGAATGCATCTATATCATATATCTCATACATATCATACAACCTGACCACAGTCCGTACACTTTGGCGGAACACAAAGTAGGAGCAAATCCCATAAACATAGAGCTTACCTCTCAAAGCTGTATAGATGGCCTACCCAACAACCGAGTTACCAAGCCTCATCTGATGTAGGATCCTCGACAAGATTCTTAGGCGAACCTAGAATAGGGAATCCACACAAATATCAATAAAATGGTTCAAAGCCAAGTAGTTTACTAGACATACCATTTATTGATTTCATCTTTTACTTATCAAATTATTTTTTTCACTATTCATACATACGGTACTACTCATCTCTACAGTACTATTCACGTATACGTCATTATTCACGTATACGGTACTATTCAAAAATACGGCATCTTAAATTTTTTCTTACTTTCACCGATCAAATTCAATTCTCTATCATTTCTTCCAAAGGAGCATATACAAATTCAGTATGTATAGCAAGTTACAATTCATTATTCATCCAAGTTACTATTCACTATTCTTCCAAAACTATAAATCCAGATCTACAACAAAAACTCAATCAAAACAGAGTTTTCTTACCGTAGATCTGTTCCTCAGGTTGCACACTTCAACTTTGGTTTTGGAATGGATGAATTTCGTTAACTCTAGCTCGAGATATGATCCTTGGAAGATTTTGAATCAAAACCATTATCTTCTCTCTCTCGATGTCGTTCGTCCGCAGAATTGAAGAAAATGAGGAATAGTAACTCCCTTGAGTTACTTAAGCGAGTTTCCTATACCAGCGGGTATAAACTTATCTATCTATACACCTCCATTCATTACCAAACGTTACCCACTGGACTGAAATATTTTTCTAGTCATATTACTAACTTTACTTTCACTTTTTGGGTAACTTAATTTATCCGTATTTTTACCCCTTAACTGTCATTTTAACTCCTTTTTCACCAAATGTGACTTTATTTCTTTTTCTTTATAATTATTCTTCAATCTTAAATCCATAATTAAATGTGAGGGTCATTATAGAAACACCCTTCATCAATTCATCTAAAATTACAAAAACACTCTTCATTAATCAAAACGACGTAGTTTTTGGGTAGTTGTATATAACCTTATCTAAAGTGGTTGTAGAAATATTTTTTCTATATATATATATATATATATATATATATATATATATATATATATATATGGGTTAGGATCATTTTATACTAATGTAAGTTACACTCTCAATCTTAATCGTTGATCCCATCAATATCTAAGGGCTCCAATTTTTTAGTAATTTGAGCCATTGGATACAATTCGATCAATGCTCAAGATTGAGTGTAAGTCCTCTAACTATTACACTGGTGTAAGAAAATATTTTGCCCCTATATATATATATATATATATATAGGATATTCTTACACCGGTGTAAGAGTTAGAAATTTTACACTCAATCTTGATCATTGATCCACTTGTATCCAATAGCTCACATTACCAAAAAATTAGAGCCCTTTGATATAAGTGAAATCAATGGACAAAATTGAGTGTGTAACTTACACGGGTGTAAAATGATTCTGACCTATATAAATATATATATATATTGGTGCAATAGTTTTTATATTTTTAAACTCTTATCACTAAGTTGCATATACTATTTTCTTGGCAAAATTTTCACTACCACTTAATTATATGTTATATTTTAAGGTGATGCAATATACACGAAGCAGAGCATTAAAAATTGATCTCAAAATGAAGGAACGAAAGGTGGAGAAGATGAGAAAACAAAGTTGCGTGTAGAGAGCCATGAGAATAAATAAGCCTCAGTCAACGTAAATGATAAAGGAGGCAATGAATATATACAAAGACGCTCTCTTAGGTGTATTTTCCTTTTTTTCTTTAGGTCCATGTACTTTACTACCCCACCCCACAATCTCAACGGCTCAAACCCAACGTCTCCCTCACTCCTATCTCTCACACTCACACTCACACACAGACACAGACACACTCTTATATATTTATATCACCACTCATTTCCACCCTTCTCAGAACCTTACAAAAATCAACACCAACGACGCTTCTTCCATTTTTAGCTACACACACCCCTCTCTACCAATTTAAACCAAAACCAAACGGAAAAGGAAACAACGTTAAAAGATATAAGGAAAAGAAACACTTACCTTTTTTTTTTTTTTTTCTGTGTCAGTTCATATCGGTTACGCAAGAGCTCTAAATATAGGCAAAGAAAACGGGAATGAGGTAATGACAATTGTTTTACCATTTATTCTCCATAAACATCTCCTTTGTTTTCGTGTAAAAAACGATTGTTTCTCCTTCATCTTCTCCACCTCTGTTTTATGTTGTTGTTGTTCTGTTTTTCTTTTTTTCCCTTTTTCCTTTTTCTTTTTCTATGTGTTTGCTATGTTGAAGAGTTTCGTGAGATTGTAATGTCTTCAATCTCTCCACTCGCTACCCTGAAAAGGGTTTCTCTGCTTTCAGGTTTACACACACCATCGTGAAGTTTTAAGAAGAACAAGAGAAGAAAACCAAAAAAATGGCGTCGTCCCAAGTTGAAATCGCTTCTTCTTCTCCCTTTGGTTGTGTTCTGAGGGACCGTAATCACCGTGATGGATGCAGGGAAAGCAACGTTAAAGCCACGCATGCCGCTTTACAAAGAAACATCAAGAACTTCGTCATGGACCATATCAACACGTGCATGTCCATGTCTTCTGATTCTGCAACAAACGAGAACAGCAACCAGAATCAGATGAACAACGATGGTTCTTGGGTTTCAAAGGCTGCCAAGAACAACAACCACCACCTTGAGAGGCTTCGTTTCGCAAGAAACAATGACGACAACAACAACAACAAAGATGAATCTTCGTTGGCTTCATTGATCAGTCCAAGACACTCGCGGCTTCTTGATCGATGGTCTGCAAGACAAGCTCGAGAGATGGTGTCACCATTGGAGAATGAGCCTGAGTTGTTAGCCATTGACAACAACAACAACAACATGATGTTTGCAAGGACAAGTAGTTTTACCTCTGATGAATGCTCATCAGAAATCTCAAATCTTGGTGCTTCTTCCCTTGTTCAGATATGGGAAAAGAGGCTTAACATCAACCAATCCAATGGCTCCAAACCAAACACCCCAGTCTCTAATGTTGAAGAGCAATGCAGAGGATCAGAAGCTGTGGAATGTTTCGATGGACCTTCAGGGAATGAAGAATCATTCCCTGATTGGGAATCAGGACAGAGTGATCATTCGGTTTCGCCAAGAGGGAGGTGGTCTTCTTCAGAGAGTGATAGGGTAAGCGTTGCAGATATCATAAAGAAGCTCACTGCTACAAATCAAGCTCTGAGTCCACCACCATGCTTTGGTGATGATAATGAACATGAAGGGTCTGGTAGCAGCGTCACAGGTTCTCCTTGTAGAGACCGTGACTGTGGTGGTTTCACACCAGAACATTTAGAGCAAAGAGCTTTTCCTCAGGTTACTTGTTACCCAAGAATTAGAGGGCGCCGTGCATTCAATGATTTGCTTATGCAGTTGCAGCGAGATCGCCATGGTGAGCTCAAGAACCTGGAAGAGCGTAGAGCAGTTTCCAAGTTCTCACAAAGAGGTCGCATTCAGGTAGAAAAAACAAAGGGGTGTTTCTTCTTTTTTGTTTTGTTATGATCTGTTAATCCTTGATCGCCACGGTGAGTGGTGGTAAAACTGTTCTTTCATGACTGAAAGGTCATGGTTTCAAATTCAAGAAACAGTCTCTTTGCAATTATGCAAGGTAAGGCTGCATGCAAGGATTACCTCCACTTCACACTCGCTAGATGGGCTTAACTAGGAGTGGTTTTAACCCTACACTCCTAGTCCGGTTTAGTAGGGAGTGGATTTGATTTTTTTGGTATGTTATGCCTTGAATTTTTCATTGAAGTTTTCATTCCAACTCATTTTCTCTGTGTCACGCTATGCATGAATGCAGTCTTTGCTTCGGCTTAGATTATTACAACGTGGCGTGGCAGCTAATGATCAATCCCGCCAAAAGTCAACAGCATCTGAAGTGAACAGACAACCACAGGGATCTGCAATTATGCAACTAAGGTTTGATCGTTTCAAAGCAAATGTCAACATTCTTATTTCTTTCGGGATTGATACAACACTTTAATGAACTCTTTTGTTATAGAAAGTTATGACATTTCAAGGTAGTGGAAAAATGCATTGAAGAGAATTACTGTCTGTTTATACTCGTGAACTGTCTATTTGTCTGATAAAAATTACATAAGTGGAATTTGGGTAGGAATCTAATGAGAACTGAGAAAAGAGTATAAATGCAGAGTTGAATCAACCATTTCCTTTTATAACTGCTTATTTTTTTCAAGAATATTCATTAAGTGCACCATGCGGCCAAGGTATACAAGATGCAAGCAGTTGGTTGCATTTTTTATATGCACCATTTCTTATCTATAAATGCTATTAGGATATAAAACTGATGCATAAATAACTTCTGCTATTTTATATAAGCATTTGACCCTTTAACTCATCAGTGGTTATCATCCTTGTATCTAAGGCCAAGAAGAAGTGTAAGGATGCATGAGTAGGAAACACTTGTGGGCACCTAAGTCTAGGTTTACATAGCACAACACAGCAAGATTCATCATAATTTAAGTTATCGTGTAGTATTTTAAATGATAAATGCTTGCATAAAATTCAGGACAAGATTTAGCACTGGAGTTGAACCTAGAACTACAGTCCAGGCAGAAGCATCTGACCCAAGAAGTCCTCATAAGGAGAAAGTAAACAACAGCACCAAAATGGATAACTCTCCCACTGCTAATCAACTCAGCAAAGACACAAGCAGCCAAACTGCTCAAGGCACTGCTAATCACACTACAGAATCCACACAAAAGTCAGTATCTCAGACTAGTGTGGATCATAAAAGAGAAGAGGCTCATCTAAATTCAAATGCCACGTTCCAAGAAACATGTTTTAAGGCTCAACATGATAACTCGCAAGAAACAGCTGAGGCAACAACAACCCTGACTGATTCAAATCTAAATGAGATGGCAGATAAGGTAGAGACGAGCAACCAACAGTATGCTATGGCTGAAAGAAGTTATGATGGGACAATAGAAGAGGAAGAGGAAAGTAACCAGCATTATGCTGAAACTAGTAACTATGCTGAAAGCAATTATGATGAGATAGAGGTCATTGACCAGAATTATGATCATACTAGTTATGACTGGATCAGTGAAATTTCTCGTCCTAGGAGCTATTGGGAAGAGCGCAGACAAGCATGGTATAGAGAGATGCAAGACACTGGTTCTCAAAAAGAGGATATACGGAAGCTTCTTGAAAGGTATAGACTTATCTGTTAAGTTTTTTCACTTTCTTCTTTGTGTATGTATTCCCATGAATGTCAACTACAACACAGTTCAAATGCATAAATGACTGGATGAATAACTGAACAAGGAATTATTATTATTTAGAGCAAAAAATAAGTCAAATTATAAGATAATTATTACATTGTGAATTGGTAACTAAACTCAAGAAAATGTTTCTATATATACTTTACTGATCTGAATATAAGTGAATTGTGTTTACAGAAGAACAGTGTCAACTTTCCTTTCTAGTGACTTCCGGGAAACAATGGATAGATTGATGGAAACTCATAGGGGAACACAAACACATTTAGTCAGCGATCAAGACGATGATGAAGACAACCAAGGGTTGATAGCATTTTTACAAGAACACTTGCATTCTAGAAGCACTCCTCAAGAAGATGGAAGAGAGAAAGGAGAAGAGTTAGAGGGAGAAGAGGAAGAGGAGGAGAGGAGAAATGAGGAGGAAGAAGAAGAAGAAGAAGAAGAAGAAGAGAAGGTAGAGGAGCAGGAGAGGGAGAGCTTGATAAGTGGTTCATATCATGAAGTTGGTGATTATTCTAATCAATCATTATATCACGAAGTTGGTGATTATTCTAATCAATCCTCATCATGGAGTTACAGAGGCATTGAAGCCCGTGATGATTTTGATAGAGCTCCATCTACATCCCCACAACCTTATCAATCTCAGTCTTTATATCATCAGGATAGCAGGCGATACTCTTCTTCCACCAATCATCATTCAATTGTGAGTTTTAGTTTAGTATTTTACCTTTTTGTGAGATATCTGAGCACAAGGTTCTTAAATCTCTTATTAAACTAAACACAATATTGCTGTGCTTACAGGAAATGGAACTCATATATGATTTGAGAGGGCATATGGATCAACTTTATCATGAGATGTCTGAGCTAAGGAAATCAATAAAGAGCTGCATCGATATGCAGATGCAATTACAACAATCCACGAACCAAGAGCTTCACACAGGTCTGTGCTCATTTTATACCATTTTAACTATATGCCAATGTGACTGTCATACCTCAAAATTGCCAATGCATAATTAAAAATTTCATGCTCAAATTCCTGAACAGTGGAAAAGAGGTGCCATATTAACAAGATTGATATTCTTGATTAAATAAATAAACTTCTTACCCCTCTATGCATAAGTTTAATTTATAACATGGCAGCTATGTTGGTTGAAATTCAATCAGTCTACAAGTTCAGAAAAGAAGATTTCGCATCAACCAAAAGGAAAATCAAATAAATTTTTAGGGTTTAGTGTGCGTCATTTAAAAGGACACAAGTTGTGTACTTTTAGTGACTTACACAGAGTATGACCGGTCATATTCTGTGTAATTCTGAAAAGTTACTTTTTTTTTTCACTTTACACCTCACTGAGGAGAGAAAAAAAAAACAACTTTTCAGATTTACACAAAGTATGACCGATCATACTTTATGTAAATCATCTAAAGGACACAATTTGTGTCCTTTTAAATGATACTTCTTTTTCCCAAATTTTTATTATACAAATCTCCCCCTTGGGTCACTTCTAACCCAAGAAAAAGCCTTTAAATGCATACCATACTAATTATGAACTTACTTTATTCACTTGCTGTCCTATCCTTAGTTTTTTTCAAACAACATTACCTGTGTCGAAGCTGAATATTTCTTGAAGATTAAGCTCCCAATTATTATTATTATTATTATTTTAAGCTCACTATCCTTTCCTGTCTACCTCTCAATAACATTAGTCACGCAATGTTTTGCATAAAACACTATTACAGTTAAAAAAGAAGAAAAGAAGTCCCATAACAGGGCTCCGAAGAAAGGCAACTGCTGCATTTGCTATGAGATGAAAGTAGACACAGTTTTATACAGGTATTTATTTGCTCCTGAATGAAAGAACGTTTGTTAGAAATTATTTATTTCCATTTTCGGAGCAGAGTAGTACTCATGTTGTCACCAATTTTCTTATAGGTGTGGACACATGTGTGCGTGTCTCAAGTGTGCCAATGAGTTGCAATGGAATAGTGGGAAATGTCCAATATGTCGAGCTAAAATAGTAGATGTTGTTCGAGTATATGTTGATGGTTAGCCTGTCTTGGTAGACAGAATCTTACTCCTAAGGACTATCCTTAGTCCTGTTTAGTGAACTGCTAAGACAACAATTTAACATTGTACATGAATTTCTCCTTTTCACATATACTTTTCAAGTATATGATTTTTTTAGGAGAAATTCGTTGAACAATTATTGTACATTTAATAGTTTCAAATCTAACCTTTTTTTCCTGCTGATGTTTCTTTATATTACAACGATTTTAGAAGAAGAAAAAAAAAAAGGCACGCACACACAAATATGCCAACAACATTTGATTTGTGACCAGTGGAAAATGTTGTACATGACTTTCTCCTTTTCACATATACTTTCAAGTATATGATTATTTTTAGGAGAAATTCGTTTGACAGACTTCATTGTACATTTGATAGTTTTAAATTTAACCTTTTTTCCTTCTAATGTTTATATCGCAAGGATTTGAAACGCACACATACATTGAAACAACATGTGGTTTGTGACCAGTGGAATATGTTGCTTGAGGCCCGGAAAAAAAAATCATGCCAACAATAATTTTCATCACTTCCAGAAAGGGGATGAAAAAACACAAAATGAATCCAGAAGACTGTTTAATGAATTTATGAAAGTATTTCCATACGTTAGTTCTTTAAAAATTAGAAATTCTAAATAACATTGAGGGAGATTATATTTACCACCTTTTTTATTTTACTATCTCTTACTATTAAATCTTAACAGTTGATTTCAATCAATCTAACGGTTATAATTTATTGAGAATTAACAATTAATTAATAATTGTGACCCAATAAATTATAACCGTTAGATTGACGGAAATCAACGGTTAAGGTTTGGTAACAAGAGGTAGTAAGTATAACCTCTCTCAATAACATTAATGGTTGAGCCATTAGAACTACATGTAGATAGTTCAAAAAGTTTTGTTGGAATTTTACATGTCTAAATGCAATCTCATAGTGCATAAAGTTTCATGTGAGACAAGAAAAAAGGAACAGATTGTGAAACATTACGGGGGTGTTTGGTACCAAGATTCTTTTTGGGTTCATTGAAAAGCTGGGTATGGAGAATTGGAAGACCACGTTTGGTAGCAAAAATATTACACTACACTTTTCTGAGAAACAACGTTGCCCAGTTTTTGCAGTTCATGTATGAAAAGTGATACTAAATATCTCCATCCAAAAGTTGGAATAGTGGTTTGCCCGGGAAGTAAAAAAAGGACCAAAATGTTGTGGACAATGATAACCCTACTTTTTGGTAGCAAATGGACTTCGTTTACTATTTATCGTCAAATGATTACGATAATAAATATTAAATGTTTAACGTTGAATATAATATAATATTAAAAAGTAAAAGTAGGGTTATTTTCGTAAAATAACTTTACATTCTCACTAATATTTCATAATCAACCAAACACACACTCAGTAAAATAAACAACAAAATTTCGAGAAAATTTGGCCATACCAAATAACTTTTTAGTAACATTCCAGCAAAATATATTTCCTATTATATTCCAGTAATCTATTGTTCCCAGATAAATAAAAAAATTTCTTCTACCAAACGCCCCTTACTCGTCAATCTCATAGTGTCTCGGTCTTTTTGAAGAAATATCTGGGTAGAAGTTAAGTGTTCAGAAAACCAGCATTTTTTTTCTCCAAGAATACCCTAGAGGAATTGACAATAAATATTTCAGAGAAGAGTGGCTTCAAGAGAGTTCGAAGTGTGGGGTGCTTTCTAGGTGCTTGGATAATTCATGGTCGTGCAACAAAGCATAATTATGTGGCCATTATTGATAGAATCCGAGATAAGCTTGCTAGTTGGCAAGAGCAATGCCTTTCACAAGCTGGTCGTATCACTCTTGCACAATCTGTTATTTCATCTATTCCTTTCTTCCATATGCAACATGGTCAAATTCCACTCACGGATTGTGAAGAAATTGACCGGATTCAACGAAAGTTCATTTGGGGTGACAAAGAGGGTAAGCGGCGGTGGCACACCATTGGCTAGAATACACTGACACTCCCAAAAGACAGCAAAGGACTGAGAATCAAAAGACTGGTGGAGATGAATTTTGCTTTTTTTGCAAAAGTGACATGGAGACTACAGAATGACAAGGAAAGTCTTTGCGCTGAAGTGCTAAGGGGTAAGTATGGTGGGTTGGTTAGTGATAACGACCCTTTCCCGGTAAAGGTGGGTTGTTCAAGGTTTTGGACAGCTTTATGTATGGTGTGACGTGAATTGGCGGACAAGCTAGTGTGAGAAATAGGAGATGAGAGATCTATTTTCTTTTGATTGGACTGTTGGGTAGGAGGATTACCATCTCTTATTCAACTTACCTTTTGCTCAATTCCTGTAGATATATTTTAATGGAAATGGCAATTGGTAGTTGAGCTTGTTGAGAGATGTTCTTCCTGAAGAGGTTGTTCAGAGCATCCAGAGCATTCTTCCTCCACAAGCGGGTGATGGTTTGGATAGGAAATTCTAGCTATTAGAAGGTGGTTCTTAGGTTTCGGTTAAAAGTTTGTATCAATCTTTTACAGCGGACAGAGAGATTGCATCTTTGAGGGTAGAGGAAAAAATTTGGATGTGGAAGGGGACGCAAAGAATCAAGTTATTCATGTGGAAGGTGGTGCATGATCGTATTCCGACGAAGGTAATAACGGCGGAGTGGGATGATGGCAATCCACTTTGTCCTATTTGTGGGATGGAGAATGAAACACTATTGCATGCTTTACTTGACTGCTCTCTCGGGAAGCAATTCTGGAAAGATCTTTGGCCCTCTGCATGGGGGGTAGACTTCTTCTCCGCTTCTTTGGAAGATTGGCTGGTTATGAATATGAATTGCCAACGAATAGTTGGTAGGGACATTCATTGGCTTTGGTTAACTTATTAAATGTGGAAGCTCGTGGTTAACTTTTTCCTTACGTATTAAAATTTTTACACATCATTGGCCCAAAATGAAATGGACGACATTTCGTTTGTATTTCGGACCTCTAGGATATTTTACCCATGAAAAAAAATTCACCTGATTAGCATGTCAAATACACATCAAGCCTAACACAACATAGATAAACATAATGCCTAGCTATCCATGGCTTAGGCTATCTCATAATCATACTGTCTCAAAATAATGTCCATAATGTTACTTAAATAATTACATCAAATAAACAAAAGAGATGCAATTAAATAAGTAACATAAACCTGAGCATGCATCACTACAACATATATAGACTAGCAGCATGGCATAGACATCCCCTATGCTCTCAAAATAATGATATGGCATATAGATACATATCCAAAATAAAATCATGCCAAAAACATATCAACATATCAATCAAATCATACTATCATGTTAGATAGTATCTCTTCTCTGGCCTCTTGCCACGCGATGCCTCAGCATAATCAACTCTTGTACCTGAAATGGAATTCCCCGTAATGTGGGGTGAGATAATAGAAATTATCTCAGTAAGCTAGGGACCCTTGGAGGGCTCCTCCACCCCTAAGCTCACTTTCGGTATAATCACAGTACATAAAATATCCATGCATCCATCAGAATATGTATGACAATGTTGTGTGCAAATATAAATCCTACTGGCCAGAGAATATAACAAGTATGCATTACGCAAGGAAACACCGTCTTGCAACATACCGTATGAGGAAATACCGTCTCATACTATACATAATAAAACAGTGTCTTATGCCTCACATAAGGAAACACCGTCTTGTGTAGCACACAATCATACATACACATACATGCAACATATAATAAATCATTTTCAACATACCATATCAAAGAACCATCCTCTCTCGGAGTCTGGTGGAACAAACGGGGGATTAACCCCAAGGACCAAAAGCTTACCTGTCAAGCACTGTCCTCCAACAAATCTCGTATCCACAGAGTCACAATCACGATCTCTCACAAGGTCACAGCCTAGTTCCAAGATGTGAAGACAATTAGTACATAACTAATCTATCACATTCAATTTTCAATACTACAGATACAAGACACATACACTTGATTTTGAGTCCAATTTATCAAAGTGTTCTAAATGGCGATTTCATAATTTTTCCTTTTACGGGAACCAATCCCAAGCATGTTTAATGTAAGAACTCACACCGTTAATTAAGGAAATTAATTAAGTAATTGTGCGAAATTAGAAAATAATTTCATAATTGACCTTTATAATAATGAGAAGGCTTAAATAATATTGGTAAGTATTATACTGCTGAAAGTCGTTTTTCTGACGAAAAGTGCAGATACTGGTTCTGCTCCTCGGTATAAATGCGTACCGATGAAGTATTCCGAAAAATTATAATAAGTGCATGAATATTCCTAGAATAATATATAGGACTGTGATTTCAAGTTTCAGGTCAAAATAATGAGAACTGGTGCCAGAACTGATATTGGCTATGGAAAAGCGCGTACCGAAAAGGTGTTGCGAAAAATAAAATAAAAATATGATAAATCTTAGAAAAATGAGTAGGTTCAGAATTCTAAGTTTGGGATTAAAATGCTAAGCGTAGCTATTAGTGCTTATATTGTGTGTTTAAGACTTAAAACACTATATATACAACTTTAGGCACATAACCCTACGCATGCTCAGATTTTCTACGTGAAGTTTCTGAAGTGTGGTGCCTCCACCTTGTCACCTTCCTTGTTCCTCTTGAAAATTCAAGCAAAAACTCATTCCTTCTCTTGATTCTTCCTCTTTATCTTGCAAACACTTGGTAGGGTGGGCTGTGAGAGTGTGAGGTTGTCTTTTACTGAGTGCTCAGCCACTTTTTGGGAAGGTTTTTGGTGCTGGCTTTGTTGTTGAGTGGTGGGAACCTTAGTGATGGCACTTGGAGCTTCAAGGAGCCATCTTTGATGCAAAGAACCAACCTTTGGTGTGTCATTTTCGTTTCCTTGTAAGTCAGAACTGTGGGGACTTGGTGGTGAGCTCCAAGAGCATTCCTTTTCATAGTTTGAACCTTGGGTAAGCTTCACCAACCTTGATCATGAGTTTTATATGTTAAAAGTTGAGTCTTGGCATGTTTAAGGAGTTAAACAAGTAACTAACCTGTATATGAACCTATATGTGCCTAAAAATGGAGTCTTAAACGTATGTAATTGGTAAAAGTTGAACATTTGATGGATATCTTTGCGAAATGCAGAATTTGCATTCTGTCGCGA